TAGAGAGTATAATGCTAAGTGAAATAAGTCAGTCAGAGAAAGATAAATACCAAATGATTTCGCTCATATGTGGAATTTAAGAAACAAAACAGATGAAGAAAAAAAAAGAGAGAGAGAGACAACCAGACTCTTAAAAATAGAGAACAGGGGCGCCTGGGTGGCTTAGTCGGTTAAGCGTCCGACTTTCGCTTAGGTCATGATCTCACGGTTCGTGGGTTCGAGCCCCACGTTGGGCTCTGTGCTGACTGCCAGCTCAGAGCCTGGAGCCTATTTCAGAGTCTGTATCTCCCTCTCTCTCTGACCCTACCCTGCTCATGCTGTCTCTCTCTCTCTCTCTCTCTCCTAGAAATAAATAAAAAAATATTAAAAATTAAAAATGGAACTACCCTATGATCTAGCATTACACTCCTAGGTATTTATTCAAAGGATACAAAAATGCTATTTTGAAGGGGCACATGCACCCTAATGTTTATAGCAGCACTATCAACAGTAGCCACATTATGGAAAGAACTCAAATGTCTACTGACTGATGAATGGATTAAGAAAATGTGGTGTGTACACACAATGTAATATTATTCAGCAATGGAAAATGAAATCTTGCCTTTTGAAGCAATGAAGATAGAACTAGAGTTATTATGTTAAGCAAAATAAGTCAGTCAGAGAAAGACAAAACAAATATATGATTTCACCCATATGTGGAATTTAAGAAACAAAACATGAAAATATGGGAAGGGAAGGAAAAACAAACTAAAATAAAAATAGAGAGGGAGGCAAACCCTAAGAGACTGTTAAACAGAGAGAACAAACTGGGGGTTGCTGGAGGAGAGGGAGGTGGGCTAAATGGATGATAGGCATTAAGGAGGTACTTGGGATGAGAACGGGGTGTTTTATTTATGTGATGAATCACTAAATTCTACTCCCAAAACCAATACTGCACTATATGTTAACTAACTTGAATTTATTTTTTTAAGTCAACAAAAAAAAGTAAAAATAAAACTATGGCAAGATTCCTCTACCCATTTGTTACATGGCTAAAATAAAAAAAAAATTCTAATACCAAGTGCTGACAAGGAAACAGAGCAACTAAAACTCTTACACACTACAGGTGGATCTCAAAGGAATTATGGTGAATAACAAAAGCCAATCTCAAAAAGTTATGTACTGTATGATTCCACCTATATAATATTTATGAAACTACAAATTATAGACATGAAGTAATTAGGAGTTTCCAGGGATACTAAGGTGAGTGGAGGAAAATGACTGTTGATATAAAGGGGTAACATGAAGGATCTTTGTAGTAATGAACAGTCCTGTACCTCAACTGTGGTGGTCATGCTTACAAAGCAACATGGATGGAACTTGAGGCTGTTATGCTGAGCGAAATAAGTCAGGCAGAGAAGGACATTTACCATATGTTTGCACGTATAGGAGGATTAGGAGGATTAGGAGGAACTTAATGGAGGACTGTGGGGGAGAAGAAGGGGGGAAATCGGGGAGAGAGGGAGGTAGGCAAACCATGAGAGACTCTTACATGTTGAGAACAAATGGAGGACTGATGGGTGTCGGGGGGAGGGGAAGGGGGGTGATGGGCATGGAGGAGGGCACTTGTGGGGATGAGCACTGGGTGTTATATGGAAACCAACTTGACAATAATCCATTAAAAAAGGAAAAAAAATTTACATGTGTGATAAAATTTTATAGACTAAACATACATAATAAGTGCATGCAAAAATCAATGAAATTTAAATAAATTTAATTATGACACTGTATTATACTTCTGCAAAATGTTATCATTGAGAAAAAGTAGGTGAAGGGTACACAGGACCTCCCCTATATGGTTTTTAACATCTTCTTGTGAATCTTATTTCAAATCAAATATTAAATTTTCATAGAATTGTATACCTAAAAGTTCACTTTACTGTCTACTTAAAAAAAATAAAATTAGGGGCGCCTGGGTGGCTTAGTCGGTTAGGCGTCCGACTTTCGCTTAGGTCATGATCTCGTGGTTCGTGGGTTCGAGCCCCGCGTTGGGCTCTGTGCTGACTGCCAGCTCAGAGCCTGGAGCCTGTTTCAGTCTGTGACTCCCTCTCTCTCTGACCCTCCCCTGCTCACGCTGTCTCTCTCTCTCTCTCAGAAATAAATAAAACATTAAAAAATTTAAAAAAAATAAAATTAAAGTTATAGAAACACTATATATTTTCTAGAACTGTGATTTTCTATCAAAAGGTGTACATTAACATCACTTGTGGAGCTTTATAAAAACATATGTGCTCCTTTACCCAAAAAATACAAAAATACTAATTCAAAGGGATACATGTACCCATATGTTTATGGTAGTATTATTTACAATAGCCAAACTATGGAAGCAGTCCAAGTGTCCAAAATGGATAGGAAAATGTGGTATATCTACACAGTGGAATATTATTCAGCCATAAAAAAGAATGAAATCTTGCCATTTGTAAGGACATGGATGACGAGAGAGAGTAGTATGCTAAGTGAAGTAAGTCTGTCAGAGAAAAGACAAATACCATATGTTCTCACTCATATGTCAAATTTAAGAAACAAAACAAAGGAGAAAAGGAAAGAAAAAGAAAAACCAAGAAACAGACTCTTAAATATAGAGAACTGATTGTTTCCACAGGGGAGGTAGTTAGGGGGATGGGTGAAACAGGTGATAGAGATTAAAGAATAATACACTTGGGGCGCCTGGGTGGCTTAGTCGGTTAAGTGTCCGACTTTCGCTTAGGTCATGATCTCGCGGTTCGTGGGTTTGAGCCCCGCGTCGGGCTCTGTGCTGACTGCCAGCTCAGAGCCTGGAGCCTATTTCAGAGTCTGTGTCTCCCTCTCTCTGACCCTCCCGTGCTCACGCTGTCTCTCTCTCTCCTAGAAATAAATAAAAATATTTAAAAAAAAGAGTAGTATACTTGTCATGATGAATAAATTAAAAGAAATAAAAAATATAAAAAGAAAACAACAAAAAAAATATATATATATATGTGCCTCAGCCACACCCCCACAATTCAATTCTGATTTGACAATATGGGATGGGACCTGGGCATTTATGATTCTCTGATTCATGCACTATAGGTGCACCCCTAAAGTGGATGTCCACCTCTTTAAAAGTGGAGGGACAGGGGCACCTGGGTGGCTCAGTCAGGTAAGCGTCTGGCTTCTGCTCAGGTCATGATCTCACGGTTCATGGGTCTAGGCCCCGCATCAGGCTCTGTGCTGACAGCTCAGAGCCTGGAGCCTGCTTCAGATTCTGTGTCTCTCTCTCCCCCTACCCCTTCCCCTACTTGCACTGTCTCTCTCAAAAATAAACATTAAAAAAATTAAAAGTGAATAACATACACACACAAATATGAACAGTAGTTGTGAGTTGTGTGATCACAGGTAATTATAATTTATTGCTTGCTATAACAAATATGAATTTTTGTGCAGTTAAAATAACAACAAAAGCTTTTAAAAAATATTCAGTTCATCATTCCAGCTAGTAGAGATATTTTATCTTTGATATCCATTTATGTCCTATCTCTATTCCCAGTCTCATGCCATGCAATATCTGATGAGTAGATCTTTTCTGTTCTCATCTACATCACTGATAAAAGTGTTAATTAGAACAAAGTCCTATGTCAGTCCTCCTTCTACCTTAATAATGATCAGCAATCTCTGAGATCAGTTTTACTTATAAAGATCTATCCAAATTCTACTCTTATCTAATTTACTATTTTTCATCATTTCTATAAGATGAGAGGTATTTTTGTGCTTTGCTGATATCTAAATATACCACATCTACCACATTTTCCAGGTCTGTTACTTCAAAGTGACCCTGAAACACTCTTCTGGTACTTAATAAAGGATATTAAACTATATTACCTTTTCTGCCCAATTACATAGTTAAGACTCTTTTGGGCACAGCCTATGACTTATATTTCCTCACAAACTCCATAGCAAGACATTCAATTCCATTCATTCAACAAATACTTATTGATACTCCATTATGTGCCAGGTACTCCTCTGGACTAACATTCCTTAGTATAAAGAAGTAATTAAGTATTCATAGCAGTATTCTCTCAACATCCAACCCTGGGTAAATAGCTACCTGCCAGGTCTGGTCCTGCCATGTCTGCCACAATGTCCTTCCTATTCCTGATCCCGGAGCTTGAAAGACTTTCTCACTGACATCTATCCAAATCACTAGATAGGCTTTTACAAAATTTTGAGAATGATTAAACTACCATACCATCATTGCCTTTTCTATAAATAGTCTCTCCTTCTACTGGGCTCTCATAGTGTCTTATGTATAACATTCTTATAGAACTTAGTGTATTCTGCTTTTTATCATACTTATCTGTCTGCATGTCTTATCTTACCCCCTAGATCATAAGCTCCCTCTGAAGGCAGGAACCATGGCTTAATCAGCTCTGTACACCCAGAAAAGTTTTACCATGCGTGGCATCTGGCGATGTTGAATGATCAAAAAAGAGAAGAGCAGCCCCTTAAAGCAGTTGTCAGGCTTACCTGAACCTCTACCAACCAGTCCACAAGAATGGCCCTCATGCAACTGCTGATGTCAGTCTGCCTGTGCATGTATTTTGTAAGTATGAACTTGTCCTGGCAGCAATAAAAAAGAAATATTAATAAATAAGCTCTTCTTTTGGTTTAAAAATTGTAACTTAGAAAAAATTCTTGCAACTAATATCTCAGAAAAATAAATTGTAATAAGATAATTCATTCACAGTTCTACCTCATTATTTTCAGCTGGTATCAGATAGGAGCAGATTAAAGTATCTTTTTCTAGACAAGTTCTAGTTATCCTTGGGAAATGGATGCACATCATATTCAAGTGTCAGGGTGGATAATGAGGATTCCAGGGGGTATATGGAATATAGGCAGGAATAGGCCTATGACTACAGAAAAATACCAGAGAGGTTCTGCCCCTTCGTTGCAATTCAATCCAATGCACAATGCCACGATGTGTAAAGCAGTGCTTCTCAAACTTTAACATGTGTACCATCTAGGGATCTTTAAAATTCACATGCTAATTTAGAAGGTCTGGGGTGGGGCTAGGTTTCTGTATTTCTAACAAAATCCCAAGTGAAATTGACAGTGCTAAGGCCCATACTTGTAGTTTAACAAAAGTTATCTCTTACTTCCTCCAAGATATACTAGAAAAATTGAAGGATCTGGAGTCAGTTAAACAAATGTTATGTCTCTAGAGAGAAGATAAGATATTCATCCTCCCTCTTATGCATGGCCTGCTAAACTTGGTAGATAGTTGGTAGATAATCTTGGCTCCATCTGCTCCATTGAGAGAGAGAGAGAGAGAGAGAGAGAGAGAAAAGAAAATTTGGAAATCAATGAATTTTAGTGGTCAGGGAGACTGGCAGATATCAAAGGAGAAAGAAAATTTCACCAGGTTAGAGAGTGATTTTACATATGATGCCAGAAACTTGGATAGAGAAGGGAAAAGATCTCTAAGAGCAGCCACTTGGAAAGAGAATACTATTTCTGTGTCTGAGACTGTCTCCTCAACAGTTAGAGGTGCACGCTTATGATCTTCAAAGTCATCAGTCTTTAGCCCATATCCCACCTCTACCATATAGTAGTTCTGTGATTCTGAGCAGTTTTTCCAATCTCTAAAAAGGAGATAATAATACCTACTATCGTGGAGTTCCTGGGAGAATTAAACAAGATAATGTGCATAAATCCCTTAGCATAATGTCTAACTTATAATAAGCTACTAGTAGATGTCAGTTGTTGCCGTTGTTATTTTAATCATCATTATTACCTCCCCTTCAACTTGCATTTGAAGGATGGAATGATAAGAAAATGAGACCTAGGAAACCTCCCTCTCCAACAGCCACCTACATACCTCTCTCTCCTTCATGTAACTGAAGATATCCTTGGCATATATTGAGTTGAAAAATGGATCATTGTGGTTCTTGTCAATATCTGCCAATGGGGTCATCTGCTTGGAAATCACCAAAAAAGCATTAGGAGGAGAAAGATTCCAGGGAAGGCTTAGCACATACACACAAATGATGCACTCCTTTCTTCCCACTGTCAATTTCTGCTAAGTTTCCTCAAAACTTATATATCCTGGGCCATAACAGAGCACCCCTAGGTCCTTCAATCCTCATACTGCTAAGTGACCAAGAAATGTTTAGTCCTCCTTGTACATGTCTGCTCTGCCCTAGGGACTAGACACCATTTTTACAGGTAAGTTCAAGACTCTCCAAGAAAAACACTTATTTTACGACTTCAACTTATGTCACCTGTCTTCTTAGGTCACTTGTTTTGTCTCAATGCTTTGATCTAATCCAATTCAGCTTCTTGGTAGCCTTTTCCTCCTTTCTACACCTTTACCCAGGATGTTTTGCATACAAGAAGGGTATTTCTCCTCCTGCCTGCCAAATCTCATCCCTTCATCCTTCCAATTTACAACTTAAATAACATTTTCCTTGGGGTGCCTGGGTGGCTCAGTCAGTTAAGCGTCCGACTTTGGCTCAGCCCCATGTTGGGCTCTGTGCTGACAGCTCAGAGCCTCGAGGCTGCTTTGGATTCTCTCTCTCTGACCCTCCCCTGCTCACACTGTCTCTCTCTCTGAGAAATAAATAAATACATTAAAAAAAATGACATTTTCCTTGAGAGATGCCTCTGTGGACTTTACCCATCTTTGACCAGAGCCCACTGTAATGCAGATTGCAATTACTAAGAAAGGTAATCTCCTGAAAGAAATTGGCTAACCACTACTGTAAATACCAGTTTTGTGTACACACACACACACACATACACACACACACACACACCATTCCAGATCCTTGCGGGTATTTCTTGAAATAAATACTTTCTAATTGTTTGGATGTATTTCTATGTCAATTGGAAAGTCAAGAGATCCCACGAGGCTAACTTTATTTACTATAGTTTACTATATGCAGATCAATTGCTTAGAAAGGCAAAAAAAATAAATAAATAAAAAACACTTCTTTACTAGCAGCCACCTACGGGATAACAAAGAACACATTATCTAATTTAAGAAGGAAGAGAACACAATACCTCCTCTTGTGAACTCTTGCTCCAAGGTGAGGAAGGTCTATTGGAACTGTATTCACAAGCACTTGACTTGCTTGTGGTACTGAACTTGGCCACACTGAACATGGTAGCAGTGCTGGACATGCCTGTTCTGGATTCAGGGGCAGTGTTGGACACATGTGAGCTGGTTTCAACTTGGAGGATCAAGAAATCTTTGAGAAAGTTATCTTCCTTGTGGGTGGAATTCTCTTGCAAGGCCAACGGCTCCTTCAGGGACAACTCCTTATCAGTGGTGGGTTTCTCATTTAAGGCACATATCTCCTTGAAATGGAATGTCTCATTGAGGGTAGGCCTCTCCTGCAAGGCCAAGGGCTCCCTCAGGATAGCTTCTTCCTCAATTGTGGGATTCTCCTGCAAGGCCAAGGACTCCCTTAGGATGGTCTCCTCCATGCTGGGCTTCTGAAAAGCCAGTGGCTGATTAATAAGGGACTCTTCATGGGTGATATTATCTTTCAAGGCCAACTGCTTCTTCAAGAGAAACACCTCCCCCTGAGCAGTAGGTTTCTTCTTTAAAGATAATTGCTTCACAATGCTTGTTGTTGCCACCTCAGCAGAGAGCCCCTTCTTCAGAATCAATGGTTTATTTAAAAGGGATTCGTCTCCAGTAGTGCTTTTCTCCTGCAAAGCCAACAGCTTCTTCAAAGAGTACTCTTTGGTATCAGTCTTCTTCTGCAAGCCCAAAGCCTTCCAGAAGAGGGACTCATCTTTGTTGGTAGGTTTAACATGCAATGAAAATGGCTTCTGAGAGAGGAATTCCCCCTCAGTTGTAGGCTTCTCTTCTAAGGCCAATGGTTCTTTACTATAGGATTCTTCTTCAGTGGTGGTCTTTTCTGCCAAGGCCAATGGATTAGTTGAGAGGGACACATCCTGCAGAGTGCTGTGCTTCTCTTTCAGTGCAGATGGATCCTGGAAGAGGAACTCCTCTTCAGTTATAGGCTTTCTATGAAAGGTCAATAGATTTTTAAAGGATGACGCTTCTTCAGAGGTGGTCTTCTCTGAGACTGGTGGCTTCTTTACAAGAAATGCCTTCCCCTGAGTGATTTGCTTTTTCTTTAAAGAAAAAGGTGTCTTGCTAAAGACTGCCTCCTCAGTTGAAGACTTCTTCCTAAGTGACATTGGCTCCATACAGAAGGAATCTTTATCTTTGCCAATCATATTTGGCACGTCCAATAGCTCTTTGCAGATGGACATCATTATTTGAGTGGCACACTTTTTCTTCTTTAAAGATAAAGGCTCCTTGATTGAGACTACATTTGTGCTAGGTTTCTTCCTAAAGGAAACTGATTCCATAAGAAATTCATCTTCACTATCAATATTCTCCTGCAATGGCTTCTTCAAAAGAGCCCCCTCCCCCTGAGTGGTGTGCTTTTCTTGCAGTATAGATGATTCTTTGAAGAGAGACTCCTCCTTGGTGGTAGGCTTCTTTTTAAAGGACAATGGCTCCTTAATGAGTGACTTCTCTCCAGAGGTGGTTTGCAATACTAGTGGCTTCTTCAAGCAGGACATCTTACCCTGAGTAGTACACATTTTCTTCTTTAAAGATAATAGCTTCTTGGTGGGGGTTGCATTCTCGATGGTACATTTCTTCTTAAGAGCCAAAGGCTCCTTTAAAAGTGACTCCTCCTCAGTTGGAGTCTTTTGCAAGGTCAATGGCTTCTTCAAGACGGACATCTCATCCTGAGTGGTGTGCTGCTCTTGTAACATGGATGGCTCTTGGAAAAGGGACCCATTGGTAGTAGGCTTCTTCTTGAAGGACAGTGGCTCTTTAATGAGTGACTTTTCTCCAGAGGTGGTCTTTTGCAATTTTAGTGGCTTCCTCAAGTGGTACATCTTCCTCTGAATAGTACACTTCTTCTTTACAGGTAACGGCTTCTTGGTGGAGTTTGCCTCCTCGGTAGTACGTTTCTTCCTAAGGGACATTGGCTTTATATGAAGTGTATCCTTACTGTCTTTGTTCTCCTGCAATGTCTGTGGCTTCAAGAGAACCTCATCATCATCAGTGGTGTGCTTCTCTTGCAATACAGAGGGCTCCTGGAAGATAGACTCCTCCTTAGTGGTAGGCTTCTCTTTAAAATACAATGGCTCCTTAATGAGTGCCTTCTCTTCAGAGGTGGTACTCTGCAATTCTAATGGCTTTTTTGAGTGAGTCATCTTCTCCAGTGTAGTACACTTCTTCCTTAAAGATAATGGACTCAAGGTGAGGACTGCATCCTTGACAGCATGTTTCTTCTTGAAAGCCAGTGGCTCCTTAATAAGTGACTCCTCTTCCGAGGTGGTCTTCTGCAATATTAGTGGTTTCTTCATATGGGACATCTTCCCCTGCATGGTATACTTCTTCCTTAAAGATGACACCTTCTTGGTGGGGGTTGCCTCCTCTGTTTTAGGCTTCTTTCTAAAGTTCATTGGCTCCATAAAGAAGGAATCCTCTTCAACACTGATGTCCTGCAAAGCCAAATCCCCCTGATATGTGCACATCTTCTTTAAGGATAATGTTCCTTTGGTGATGGCTTCCTCCTCAGTTTTATTCTTCTTCCCAAAAGTCATTAGCTCTATAGCAAATTCATCATCACTATCAGCCTCCTCCTGTAAGGATGGTGGCTTCTCCACGAGGGATACCTCCCCCTGATTTTTGGACTTCTTTAAAGATAATGACCTCTGGATGAGGGTTGTGTCCTCAGTAGTGGGTTCCTCTTCTAAAATTATTGGCTTTTTGAAAAATGATGCCTCTTCAGTAGTGGTTGCTTTGGATATGGTAGATATCTCCACGTTTGGTACCAAGGAAGTAGAGACTACTACTGGCGAAGGTTCCAGCTTATAACTGTAAAAGAAACAATGTCTGGGTAAGAATAATGTAGTTCCCAGAATCCTCACCTACCATCTCATTTTGTTGCTGAATTTACCAAAGGTATAGAAGGGGAAAGGGTTTTAACCTCAAGAGACAGATTAAAAGGTAAAAATCAATGGGTACCATACTGAACCAACTAGGTAGTATGCTGTATAGTTTCTATGGCTTAGGTTCTCACACTTTTCTGAAAAATTTCTCTGAAAATCCATGTTCTGTTTTCCTATATATGACTTATTTACTTTATTTATATACAAAGTCTTTATTATAATACCACATTGTATGAGTTACCTGCTATAGTATCAGTCTCCCTCACTAGCTGCATTTATTTATCTTTGTCTATCAACATCAGGCATCTGGCAAAATGCAGGCTGAAATTAATATTGTTTGAAGGGTTATGAGAAAGAATTATGAGAAGCTTATGAAAGGCTTATGAAGGCTTATAAGAGAAAGGAGGGCTGGTACTTAATATTGGTGGTATCTCCTTTTTTTAAGTTTGAACTATAGAATATTTTACTTTATATTTTTATTGATTTATTTTCAAATTAGTTAACATACAGTGTCATTTTGGCTTCAGGAGCAGAACCCAGTGATTGCACTAGTAGGAATTTATCTAAATGATATAAAAATGCCAATCCAAAAGGGCAAATTCACCCCAATTTTTATAGCAGCACTATCAACAATAGCCAAATTATGGAAAAGAGCCCAAATGTCCATTAACTAACGTTGGTGGTATCTAACCACATCCCTTTCATCCTAGGCTATTAATGAGATACTTTCCCAGTGGAGATAATAAAAAGATCAAAATAGACATTTGTTGTTCACATGTGTCAGATTCAAAGCTTTGTTCTCAACAGGATTTCATCATGACCAAATCACTGAAAGACTAGAAATAAGAATAAAAGAGGACTGAAGAATGCAATCATCAGTCTCAACAAAAAAAGTCTCTCCAAAAGACTAGATACCATATGATTCCACTTATATGAAATGTCCAGGAGAGACATACCCATAGAAGTATATCCATGAAAGAAAGAAGATTGGTGGTTGCCTATGGCTAGAAAGGGGTAGAGAGGAGACTAGAAAGGGGGACTGGGAAAGGAAAGGGACTACTAGTGGGTTCAAGTTTCTTTGGGGGGTGTTGAAAAGTTATAAAATTAGATAGTGGTGATGGCTGTACAACTCTATGAATATAATTTAAAAACCACAGTATTGTTTTTATTTTTATTTATTTTTTTTACAAATAGTTTATTGTCAAATTAGTTTCCACATAACACTCAGTGCTCATCCCCAAAGTGCCCTCCTCCATGCCCATCCCCCCCTCCCCCCCACATCCATCAGTCCTCAGTTTTTGTCAGCATTCAAGAGTNAAATGGAAAAACATTCCATGCTCATGGATAGGAAGAATAAATATAGTTAAGATGTCATTACTACCTAAAGCACTCTACACATTCAATGCAATTCCAATCAAAATTGCACCAGCATACTTCTCAAAACTAGAACAAACTATCCAAAAATTTGTATGGAACCACAAAAGACCCCGAATAGCCAAAGTAATACTGAAAAATAAAACCAAAACGGGAGGTATCACCATCACAGTATTGTTTTTAAAAAGAAAGTGCTTTGGGGCGCCTGGGTGGCTTAGTCGGTTAAGCGTCCGACTTTCACTTAGGTCATGATCTCATGGTTCGTGGGTTCGAGCCCCGCGTCGGGCTCTGTGCTGACTCCCAGCTCAGAGCCTGGAGCCTGTTTCAGTCTGTGACTCCCTCTCTCTCTGACCCTCCCCTGCTCACGCTGTCTCTCTCTCTCTCTCCTAGAAATAAATAAAACATTAAAAAAATTTTTAAAAGAAAGTGCTTTGAGAGGTTCCACATGGCCAGATAGATTCCAGATCCCTCCCGATGAGAACTTTTAAATGTAGTCTTCAGATAATCTAGTTATGATTAAAACTTTGAATTCTGGAGCTAGACTGCCTGGATTCAAAGCCTGCTCCTCCACTTACTAGCTGGGTGGCTCTGGGCAGGTTAGCGGCCTATACTTCACATTTTTTACCCATACAGTGGGAATCATATTACCTCCTTTGTAGGGTTGCTGTGAATATCTGATTAATGTGCAATAAAAACATGTAAAACAAAAGCCTGATCAAAAGAAATGTATGCCAATAAATCAGGTAATTTAGATGAAATGGACAAATTCCTAAGAAGACACAAACTGCCAAAACTGACTTAAAAAGAAAATAAAAAATATGAATAGGCCTATAACAAGTAAAAACACTGAATTAATATGGGTACCTGAGTAGCTCAGTCAGTTAAGTGTCTGACTTTGCCTTAGGTCATGATCTCAAGGTTCATGATTTTGAGCCCCGCATCAGGCTCTGTGCTTACAGCTCAGAGCCTGGAGCCTGCTATGGACTCTGTGTCTCCCTCTTTCTCTGCCCCTACCCCTCTGGTGCCCACCTGCTCACTCGCTTGCTCTCTCTCTCGTGCACGCGCTCTCTCTCTTTCTCCCTCTCCCTCTCTCCCTCTTTCTCCCTCTCTCAAAAATAAACATTTTTTAAAATAAAAAAAAACACTGAATAATCAAAAACTACTCACAAAGAAAGTCTAGGCCCCGATGGTTTCACTGGTGAATTCTACCAAACATCTAAAGAATGATTAATACCAGTTCTTCATGAACAACCCCAAGAAATACAAGATATGAGAACAGTTCCCAACTCATTCTAGGAAGCTAATATTACTCTGATACCAAAAACAAAGACATCACAAGAAATCATAGTCTGGTATCTCTCATAAATATACATGCAAAAATCTTCCACAAAGTACTGGCAAACCAAATCAGCAACACGTGAAAGGATTATACACCATGACCAAGTAGGATTTGTCTCAGGAATGCAAGATTAGTTTAACATCTGGAAATCAATTAATATATTAAGCCATATTCATGGAGTAAAAAACAAATGCCACATGATCATCTCAATAGATCCAGAAAAATCATTTGACAAAATACAACACCTTTTCATGATATAAGTACTCAACAGACTAGGAATAGAAAGGAGATTCCTCAACTTGATAAAGGGCATCTATGAAAAACCCAAAACTAACATCAGACTTAATGGTCAGAGACTGACGCTTTCCTCCTAAGATCAGGCAAAAGACAAGGATATCCAACTCTTCTTTAGGGGATGGGGGATTGGTCATGTAGCAGTAGATAACTCATATAGCATTGTTGACACTTGAGGACTAAACCCCTCTATTCTCTGAATAAACTCCAAACTCTTTGCCATGATCTGCAAGGCCCTGGTGACCTGGCTCTTACCTGTCTCTTCAAATCCATCTCTTAAGAAATATTGGTATAGGAAATAAATATTGAATATCTATGATATCATAAGTCTAGAGTGATCAGAGTAGGCTTCCTTGAAAGATCAGCAGTCTTTCTTTGTGACTGAGAGAGTTCCTGGGATGCAAGACTTTCAGTATTAAAACTGGGCAAATCCTATGAAAACCAGAATAAGGTGGTCATTCAATTCTTAGAAGGATGTCCAACTATTGACATTTCTATTCAACACAGTACTAGAGGTCCTAGCCAGGGCAACTAGGCAAGAAAATAAAAGGCCACCAGATTGTAAAGGAAGAAGTAAAACTATGTGTATTAGCAGATGACATGATTTATACAGCGAAAATCCTAGGAATCCACACTATTAGAACTAATATACAAGTTCAGCAAGGTTCCATGATACAAGATCAATACACGAAAATCATACATATTTCTATATCCTTACAATGAACAATGTGAAAATTAAATTAAGAAAACAATTCTATTTGAAATAGTGTCAAGAAGAATAAAATGCTCAGAAATAAATTTAACAAAAGTACAAAAATTATATTCTGAAAACTACAAAAATGATGAAAGAAATTAAAGATCTAAACAAATGAAAAGACATCCCATGTTGACGGGTTGGAGGACTTAGTATTATTAAGATGGTAATTCTTACCAAATTGATTAACAAGTTCAAGGCAACTTCTATTAGAATCCCAGCTAGCTTATGAGTGGAAATGGACAAGCTGATTCTAAAATTTATAAGGAATTGCAAGGAACTCAGAATAATCAAAACAATCTTAAAAAAGAGGAATAAAGTTGGAGGAATCACACTTTCCAATTTCAAAATGTACTAGAGAACAAGAATCAAGATAGTGTGGGGCACCTGGATGACTCAGTCGGTTGAGCGTCCAACTTCAGCTCAGGCCATGATCTCACAGTTCGTGGGTTCAAGCCCCATGTCGGGCTCTGTGCTGAAAGCTAGCTCAGAGCCTGGAGCCTGCTTTGGATTCTGTGTCTCCCTCTCTCTCAGACCCTCCCCTGCTCACACTGTGTCTATCTCAGAAATAAATAAAAACATTAAAAATTTTTTAGAAAAAAAGAATCAAGATAGTGTGATAACTGCCATAATGACAGACATGTAGATTGATGGAATAAAACTGAGAGTTCAGAAATAAACACGTATATTTACAATAATTTGATTTTTAACAAGGATACCAAGACAATTAGGTGAAGAAAGAGTAATCTTTTTAACAAATGGGACTGGAACAACTGGACATCTACATGCAAAAAAAAAAAAAAATAAAGTTCGACCCCTATACACACTACCAACAGAAATTAACTCAAAAGGAATAAAAAACCTAAGAGCTAAAACTTGAAAACTCTGAAAAGAAAATATTAAATCTTTCTAACAGATTTGGCAGTGAGCTCTTAGATAGGACACCAAAAGCATAAGCAATAAAGGAGAAAATAAATTGGACTTCATCAAAATTAAAAACTTTTGTGCCTCAAAGAATGTCAACAAGAAAGTGAAAAGACAACCCATAGAATAAATGAAAATATTTATAAATTATATATCTCATCAGGGACTTGTATCTAGAAAATATAAAGAACTCTTACAACTCAATAATGAAAAGCTCAACAACCAATTCTTTTAAAAAATGGACAAAAGATCTGGGGCTCCTGGATGGCTTAGTCAGTTAAGCTTCTGACTTCAGTTCAGGTCATAATCTCATGGTTCATGGTTTTGAGTCCCGCATTGGGCTCTGTGCTGACAGCTCAGAGCCTGGAGCCTGCTTCAGATTCTGTGTCTCCCTCTCTCTCTGCCCCTCCCCCACTTGTGCTCTGTGTGTGTCTCTCTCAAAAATAAATAAACATTAAAAAAATCTAAAAAAAAATAAATGGGCAAAGGATCTGAGTAGACAATCCTCCAGAAAGGTATGCAAATGGCCAATAAGTACATGAAAGATGCTCAACATCAACAGTCATCAGAAAAATGCAAATCTAAACCACAGTGAGGAACCACTTCACACCCACTAGGACAGCCATAAAAAAAAAAACAAAAAACTAGTAAGCATTGTCAAGGATGTGGAAAATTGGAAACCCTTATACAGTGCTGGTAGGAATGTACAATAGTACAACCACAATGGAATACAGTCTGGCAGTTCCTCACGGAGTTGACCATAGAATTACCATATGACCCAACAATTACATTCCTAGGTATATACACAAAATAATTGAAGATAGGTGTTCAAAAACTTGTACACAAATGCTCATAACAATACTTATTAACAATAAGCAAAAGGTCAGAGCAACCCAATATCCATCAACTGAAGAATGGATAAAGTACAGTATATTCATACAATGGAATATTGCTGGTCAATAAAAGGAATGAAGTACTGATATCCAAAACAACATGGATGAACCTTTAAAATACTATACTAAATGAAAAAAGGTAGATACATAAGACCACATGTTGTATAATTCCATTTATACAAAATGTCCAGAATAAGCAAATCTACAGAGATGGAAAGTAGATTAGTGATTACCTCAAGTTGGGGAGGATGAGGGAACTGAGAGGTGACAGCTAAAGATACAGGGTTTTGGGGTTTTGATGGACTAATGAAAATGTTCTAAAATTCACTGCAGTGATGGCTGCATAATTTCAAATATACTGAAAGCTACTGAACTATACACATTAAATGGGTGAATTGTATAGTATGCAAATTATACCTCAATAAAGAAGTTAGCAAAAAAAAAAAACCCACTTAGAATAATGTGTGATTATAGTCAGCCCTCAATACATGTCAGCTACTAGCTCTAGTGCTATTATTAAGGTCTGTTCCACTGACCCCTAAACGAAGGCAAGAATGTTTATGGTCTCTTGTGAGAATTTCACTGCTAAAATTAGAATTATAAAATAAATTCAGAAGAAAATAATGCAGGGAATTAAAGTAAAAATACACTTAGAAATCCCAGGAATGTCATTTCAGCAAGAAACTAAGTAGGGATAAATACTAATCTGGTTTGATTTCTTCCTGCTAGGTTATTAGAAAAGTGATTTGTGGACCTAACATGTTAATTTTCTGGAGTTCCCCAACCTTATTCTCTTACCCTTTGGAATCCATGCTTAGGCCTGCTATAGCTTTTGAGCTAATTTATTCTCTTCTTTCCTGAAAGTAATTCCCACTGGGATGAGGAGAGGCTATAGAAAGGCCTCACTCCACTTTCTAACTCTTCTTCTAATAAAAGTTTTCCTAGGGGTAAGTCCTTTTTCTAACCCAAATGAGAATACTCATATCTACTTGCAAAACCTATGAACAGTTCTCTGTAACATCTGGAAAACATATGTTTTTGGTCTAGAGGGAGAGCAATTTCTCTCCAGTAACAAGGGACAAACCTCTCCCAAAAGCTTCTAATGAGATAAGCAGTTTGGGCAAGCTATCAGCCAGCTGCTGAATATCCCCTGAAAAGTTGCCCCCATACTCTTAATAATTGACTAGGTCAAACAGGGACTGAATTACTAAATGAGAGAAGAGACAAGCACAATATCTTCTGGCAAACTTCCCAATGACAACAGCTCTTTCAATATGCACACACCATGGAAGGAGAGAAGAGGCCTCTAACACTTCAGCAACCACAGCTATGCCCACCTCAGCACTCAGGGGTTAATGCATAATCACCACTGTGGCTCACTAAACATGTCCTCAATGGGGGACAAAAGGAGGTGAACGGATGTCACACTCTCCTTTATCATCTAAAACAATGCCATCAGAGTCACTTCTTACCTTTCCATATTCATCTCACTGTTTTTGGCCAGCCCAAGAGCAGGTGTGTTCCCTTTTATCTTCTTGTAAACATCTTTAACAAACTCCTTACTGGCTTCCTTCTTGAGCTGGGCAGGTTGAATTTGAGAAGCCTGTTAAAAAAAAAATGAGGTGGGGGGGTGGGCAGAAGAAGGAGGAAGCAAGGAAATCAGGAGAACCATAAATTATCTAATAGGTATCTCTTATAGGAATGTTTTAACCCACATCCCCACCTTGTTTGGGTGTTCCCAAGAGTAATAATCAAAACATCTTACAACCAGTGCCAACTAACCACAGTGGAAGCTAGCAGTATAGTAGTACTGCTAAATATTGGCTAAATAGCAACCTTAAATGATTTCAAAATATATAAAATGTAGTTCCAATCTCTATGTCAGGCATACTGGCTGGCAAATTCCCAGAAAGTAGTTTTGTTAATATCACATTCCACTTTGACTCCATAAGATGCTCAGAGGGGGGAAAAAGGTAACATAACTGGCTTGGCTGCCTGGATATACCAAAATCAACTACCACAACACTACCTGTGACACATCTATCCCATCTCATTGAGGGGACATTTATTTAACATGGGGCTCTGGGGCACTCCACCATAAACTCTAATCATGACTAATTCTATTAAACAGAAGAAGAGATCATGAGATTGTGAATAGAAGCAGTAAAAAATTTAAAAGTTATGTCTTTACAATGAAACAAACTGAACCTAATAATATTCCAAATAAATACCGTAACCACATTAAGGGGAAAAGAAAACAGAAGAAAATACAACTAATCCAAATAAACACAGTATTAGACTATATACCCTCAAGATACACATCTTCAGTCAGGATGGGTTTGTGGGGTGATAGAATATTGCAAATAAAACTGGAACTCTTTTTAACAGGTTTATTACGGTAGTATGGATGAAGTAATTTTGAAACTCTTTTAGATGTGTTATAGTATTGAGTAAATGTGTTGATGTTCTTGGTTACCAGGGTTCTCACTGTAGAAGGAAGACACAAATATGGATTAGAGAATGCAAGAAAAATCCCTGTGTATTGGAATGGGAGCTGTGCAAATTCATAATTTCTTAAAAAGGTATATGTATATACGTATGAGTATATAGATATATGTATGTGTGTGTATCTGTGTATATAGATATACGTATGTTTAAGTACACATACATGTGCATGCATAGGTGTATATACGTGCAGATACTTCCTAGTTCTGTCTGCTGAAAGGGCAGAAAAAGTAAACACTCCAGTAGCATACTTACCACTGAGATCTTGGTCTCTAATACCATTCCCCACTAAAAGGAACCAGAATTCTTTGGAGAAATGGTTGACTCCAGGGCTGAGATAAAACAGATACATGAAGAACCTAGAACATCCTGCCATGCTGGAAAGAAGAGGCTCAAAAAATTCATGAGATGGAACAACTGGGTGGCTCAGTCAATTAATCATCCGACTCTTGATTTTAGCTCAGGCCATGATCTCATGGTTTGTGAGTTCGAGCCTCGTGTTGGGCTCTGTGCTGGCATCATGAAGCCTGCTTAGGATTCTCTCCCTCTCTCTTACTTTCTGCCCCTACCCCACTCATTTTCTCTCCCTCTCTCTCTCTCTCCCCTCTTCCCTCCTTCCCTCTCTCTCTCAAAAATAAACATTAAAATGTTTTTTAAAAATTTATGAGAATATGTCACAAAAACACAGCAATCAGATTGAGGGGAATTCTATTGGCCAAATCTGGGACAATTTGAACACCAAAATAATTAAGTACAATAATGAACAATAAACCACTAAAATACAGGAATTGATAAGTCCACACCAATAATGAATAAACAGGGAAGGAAGGCAGGCTCACACTTGTAACAGAATGCCAAGGGCAGACTGGTAAATGTGAAGTGAGTGCTACAGCTGGAAAAAATCAGCCTAAAGATTTGGTTTAGACAAAAATCATCAATGGATACTAAATCTAGGGAAAATTTTTATGTAAAGAGGGTTATTTGCAAGCTCTTAAGCGTGTTGCACAGACCACGTATTAGTTGCAAGAAGAAAAAAATATAAACAGTAATTATACAGTGGGAAGCCAGACAACATCTTGACTGGGTGATAAAAATTTATCACCAGTGAGGGACAGATGGACATCATGTGCCTCCAGATGTGATATCCTAAGGACAGACCACCCACACAGTATCCCAGCCAAGTATGTATAATATCAACATAGTCACATAGAAGCATCAAAGATAAAATGAGGGATGTTCTATTTTTAAAAAGGTGTCTAGGTGTTGTATTCTTTAAAAAATGGTAATGTTGATGAAAAACAAAGAAAAGGCTATGGAAATATTTCAGATTAAAAACAGCTAGAGACACAACACATAAATGATACTACACTGGATCCTTCACTGGAGGGTAAAAATACTTATAACATTGACCTTATAAGGTCAACTGAAAAAATTGGAATATAGATTACATAAAAATATCTTATCAATGTAAATCTATAAAGTTAACAGTACTGTGGTTATACAAGACAATTTCTCTAAGGAACTATATACACTGAAGTACTTATAGGGGTAAGGGACCATGGAATAAAATGTTAACTATAGGTTAATCCAGGCGAAGGGTATATGTACATTATTTGTACTATTTTTTATCTTTGCAGCTTTTTGTAAACTTGAACTTTTTTCCAAATGAAAATTTTAAAAATGTGCCTTTGTATCATCAGATCATAATAAGCAACTACGATCTAATAGGGAATTCTTTCTTAGGCCCTCAAGTCTTCTAACTGTGCTCCTCAAACAGCTTGGTACTGTTTTCATTTTAACTTCTTACCTAAAGTTTTACAAACTCCCTGTATGTGCAACTGAGATTCAGTATTGGAAAAGAATTGTAGTCTTGGCAGAATAGAGGTAGAGACCCCAACACCCAGGGTGAAACTCTCTACTTGCTATATGTGAAAGTTCAAAGCACCAATATTCTCAGATTTAAGCTCAAGGGGACCTTAATTTGCACTTCCTTACAATTTTTTCCTTAAAAAAATAAAAAAATTATGCCCTACTGACACAAAATCATTTAGGTAAATGTGGATACAGACCCTATCTCCTTGTCTACTGGCTTAGGACCAGTTCTTACACATCAAAAGTCCTTTCCCAAGATGAAATGATAGAGAGGAAAAGAAAAGTACAGTAGATTAATTAAAACAGATTATTTTGGCAGGCCAACACCTCACTGGTGAATGCTGATGAAAAGATAGATGTGTGGACATGGAGACTTAGTAATACTTACAGGAAGAAGCAAATAATCATATAGGGACTCCCCAAAATTCAGAGAGAAATGAGCCCTCACCCCTCAAACAGATGAGCTCAGACATCTGCAGAAATGCCAATTCTAGGAATGGTTTAGGCACATTGTAATGATGGAACTTTCTCTGGAAGGTACTAAAGACCATTCAAGGTGACCAAACTAAATCTTCAGAACTTAAATGCAAAGGGGAATTGGGTTTTGAGTTTCTGGAAAGCTATAGGCAGAGTTATTGTTCAGAGATGCCTTGCTTCTCCCACTCCAATTCTAGATAAGGATGTGGCCTAATTGATACTGCATTCAGTTGGAGAGCCAGAAGGGTTCTGGATGATATCTTTTCTATTCATTTGTTTGTGTTTGTTATTTATGAATGGCAATATAAACTTCATGGGGGAAAAAAGGACTGACGCATAGCCAGAAATTTTCTCATATGCTGTGAGACCTTGCTTTGCACAATGTCATCACTGCTCTCCCATCAGAGATTCTGGGGGCCAAGGGAAGCCACACTAAAATGGGCTGCATCCTCCTCTGATTTGTGTAACTATCTTATTTCACCAAAGTTTCTAGATCCATGGTTAAATAAATCAGGAAACAAATCTAACCCTACACGTTTGTATGGGAAGTGTCTCTTTCAACCAATTGACAGTCAATCTGAAATTATTCAGAAATGTATAACCTAATTATATATGTTGCAATCTGCATGGGAAAGAGACTATTGTTAGTACAAAGGTAGTCACATAACACCTATAGGGCAAAATCCAAAGGCAAGAACTTTGCCAATACTTATCCAATCTTGCTTAAGGGAGTAAAATATTGTCTAGTAGATGTATTCTGGTAGTCACAGAAGGACAGTCTATTATGGAGGACAGGAATGGTTCACCAGGGTTCTCTGTATCCTGGATGAAATAGGCTTCAAAAGCAACATTGGGCAAATCTTAATCTGTAGACATAATTATGGGTTCTATCTCATAGAAATAAATGAGGATTAAGTGAGTTGATACAGGCTTAGAATAGTGCCTGGCACATGGTAAGCACTCATTAGTCATCAGTTGTTATTTTCGAAGACCAAAGATTACCTTTGGCCCAATTCTACACATTCAACTAGTAACATCTTAACTATCGATTCTGGGTTTTGCTGGTATCTTAATAACCCCAGAAGGGAGGTAACTTGGAAGTTAACAATTCTCATCAAAATTGAGTTTCTCAATCTCCATAGTTGAAGACCAGATAGATCATGGAATTGTGATCCTCAATGGTTCTGTAAATAAATGCACATTTTTTGTGGTCACTATGAATGGGCTGCTGCTAGAATTTAATGCCAGGAGCCAGAAATGCTATGGCTGAGGATAGTTCTACACAACAGAAAAACTACTGTACCAAATGCCCATAGTGCTTGAATTGATAAAACACTGCCCTGAATGACAATGACTCCATCAAGATACTTACCTCCAAGGCCTAGGCAGCTAGCTGAGCCACTTCTGGATTTTATATAAATGCAAGATCCCATAGTTCTTATATTTATCTACAATTTCACATCTGATAATCACTGTCTGCTGCTTCCAGACAGTTCAACCAATTAATCCAGATGGTATGTGTCAACAGAAGAGCTCCTGCAGTTTCTGAAATTGGGTCATCCATTCCAAATAAAATTGGATTTCAACACTCTAGAGAGGGTCCAGGGTCTGGCAAACCAGAAAGGTCTCTTAAGGAAGAGGTTATCTAAGCCTTAAGCAAACCACAGCAGAGGATTGGACTATCATACTCACATTGGTGAGATCTTCAAAAGCTGATCTCTTTTTGCGTGGTCTCTTAGGTGAAGATGAAGATCTCTTTGCTTGGTAATTCTCCCCACTCTAAAAAAAGTAAAAGAGACAAATGAATGTATCCAATCATGAACACTTTTCAGGGACTTCAGATCATCTTTGGGGCTAAGGGGGAAACTCCAGAATCTCCAAGCAATTGGGGATGTATAGAATAAACCACAGTGAACTACAATAAAAGGACATTTTGGCATTCACTGCTGCTTAGAGAGTCCCGGAAGGAGGTAATCATTGATAATAAGGACAAGGCTATGATGATGGCTTTCAGTGTATCTCTTAGAATGAGCAAAATATCTTGGTAAAGTTAGTTTTCCCTCTTAGTTCTCCCATCTTTATGGTTATCCAATCTAAGATTAACAATCACCACCACCACCCAGCTACTCCTAGTCATTCCTTTACTATGGATGCTCTCAAGCAAATTACATCAATAATTTAACAAATATTTAAGTGTCTCTTATGTTAATTTTTTGATTTAAGACATTCCCAATAAGGACAATAACACATTATCTCTAGATCCTAGTCCAGGATCACCTCTCTACTAGCTGTTGACACTGGGCAGCTCACATAATTTCTCAGCCTCAATTTTCTTATCAGTAAAATTGGAATGATAACCTTCCTTATTTGAGGATCAAATAAGAGAATACATGTTTTAAAAACTCTGTATAAACTTAAATGTACATAAGTCATATCTTCCTTAGTTTATTGTCAAGTTGGTTTACATATAAAACCCAGTGCTCATAAATTATATTTTTAAATAATATAGCCCAATATGATTTTAAGCCTCATAGAGAAAACTCTGAATACTTTAAGTATACATTTTCATGATTTCTTTATTTTTGTTATTTTAAAGGAATCTCTATACTCAACATGGGGTTCAAACTCACAACCATGAGATCAAGAGTCCGATGCTCTACCAGCTGAGCAGGCCAGGCACTCCAAATTTTGTATTTTGAGAAAGGAATTTGGTAATCCATAGTAACCTCTAATTTGTTAGTGTATATGAAGGAGGGATAGTAGAAGGAAGGAGAAGTGGCTATTTTGGAGCAAAGGGGCTTTCTTCCTAGGTATTGTTTACCTGTGCATGTCTTGCTCAACTCCCATGTGAATAAGGCCATCTCAATGGGGCTAGAGTTTAGGGTGAATTGTACTGTAGGGCTCTTCCGCTACCTAACAGTTTTTATTTGGTAAAAGTCTCCTAAGTCTCAAATTTCCTTTATGATATGAGAACTCTGACCTACTTATATCAGAGAGTTGTTATAATGGGAAGCAGAATATTAGGGTTGTGCCATTTATTTTTTCTGTTCCTCATCTAGACCATGAACAGTTAGTACATGACATAGTAAGTGATCAGAAGTTTAGAGAGTTGGATTAAAAGCACAGTAGACCCATCTAGTACAGCAGAGCAATCCTGAAAGAGGAGGGAAGAATTACTTGTTTTCTAATTGATTAAGTTTAGAGATCAGAAAACTATTAGTCTTTTATCTAGTTCTTGATGAATAATCCTAGTGGAAATAGAAAAACTAAAATATTTCATGCTTACATAAATCCCACAAATTAGCTAAGAAATAAACTGTCAGTCTGTTATACAATTCCCACTTAATATTACCAGTAGAAATAATCAGCCCCAAATAAAATTCATAAGTGAAACTGAACTCAATAAAATATAGATGTACAAAATGTTCCCCAAGAAAGTTGGATTTGGAAAAATAACCACCACAGAACTCATTATGGCAGAGCTTTAATGTCTAATATTGACAAAAATCTGATCAATGTATCAATCTTTCTTGCCAAATTTACATATAAAAAACCTTTAGCCCCTCCATGAAAATCATTTTAGTAAAACAAAAAATGAAAATGATTGGAAAATGTTTATCTGTGCTGCGAGAAAACCAATCAAGGAAATTAAATTGGCTTAATGATGTTTGCTCTAGGAAATACTCCCTTAATGACAATTCATCAGTGTTAGTAAAATTCTGATTAAAATATGTATGATGAGGAACAAAGAACATCACATGGTTGGAATGACACTGTCAAACTATCCACAAGGTCAAAACAGCAAAAGCAAAATGGACCCATTATTCAAATTTAATAGCTATTAAAAGCATGATAATCCATTTGTTGATCTAACCTTTGGATTCTCCCCAGGATGTGCCAAACAGCCTCCTGAAGGTGCTTTGTACATTTCCCAGAAACCAAGAGTATAGACGTGATCATTAATGAGCTCAGTATTGTTTGTTTTTGAAGGCTGTGAAGGGTGTCCTTCATTTCAGCTATGCATTTATGGGAAAGGAGAGTTCACACTTAGAACCCAAGTTCTAATTTGCTGGTCTTCTTCAACTACAAGGGCTACCACCCCTTACCAATTTCTCAGATTAAACAACACATATTCAGAAAGATTTAGGGGTGAGGATAGGAACTGAGCCAACACAGGAAAAAGCTACTCGAGACACTGTTGAGAAAGATAGCTTGCTCTAACCTTTTCAGATTGGCCATGATCACTGGGCACAACTTTGCTGGACTGAGATTTCTTCATCTCAGGTTTGGAGCTTCGGGATGGTGGTGGCAGTGGCATCTCTTACAGATTCAGCAGTGTCTATCCAAGAGAGGGCTGTAATCAGAAAGGGACTCTTTAAAACACCATTCACCAGAAACATCACAGAATTCTCTGGAAACCCTTGAGAACACCCAGGTTCTCTCTAGAATCTCTAGGAGAAAACATACTTTGAGTTAGACAAATCTGTGTTCAAATTCTGGTTCTACCACAATTAACCTTGGGTAGTGATAAACTCCCTGGGTTTGTTATCTCATCTGGAAAATGGAGAGAAGTACACCTACCTCTGTAGGGCACTGTTCAAATTAAATGACATACTCTAACTAAAAAGACCAGCAAAGTGCCTACCATCCTGTGTGGGCACTGGAACTGTGGCCTGCCTCCTAGTTTAGGCCTAGGAACACTGGGAACAAGTCACATGAAAGTTTTGCACTAAAAACAATCAAAAACATGACAGATCACATAGTATAGAAGCCAGCTAGAAGGGTTATGTTCTTTAAAAGGCACAGGGTCCTGGCACAGCGATTATAATGATGCTACAGAGGAGACACAAGAGTATACTGCACATATACATGATAGGCCAGAGTATTCAAAGACTGCATTCTATGAGAAGAAACTGTACAGCTCCAGACACCTGGCAAGAAAAAAAAAATCAAGACAAGATAATAATAGAAGGAACTAACTTATTGAAAAATTACTTGACATATTTAACCATCATTACAGCTCTTGGGAGTGTCCTATCTTTGTCTCATCTCAGTGGTGGACTCCATTCTACATTCCTTAAAGTTCTTTTCTTGTGAGTCCTCAATAGTTAGGATGCACTTATGTGTCTCAAAAGCAAATGCATTATTAGGAGGAATCAGTTTTTGGATATACAGGATGCCTTTCCCACACAGATGCAACTGCCCTTCCAACCTCACCCACATTCAATCTCCAAGTTCAACTGCATTTTCAAAGAGTACGCTCCTCTAAGAGAGACCCTAAAGGCAATGCAATAAACTTACCCGCCACTCTGTACCCAATATTTCAAACTCTGTACCCAGTATACAAACACAAATAAATCATGCATCTTATCCTGTAAGTATTCACATACACAGCTCTAAGAGTAACATAAAAATGTGGCAATGATTTAATAAAGGTAAATACATACAAAGTACTACAAAAACATAATGGAAGCTTAGTAATCTTGTCTGGGGGACAAAGGGGTGGAAGAGGACTTCATAGAGGAAGTTATATATGATCTAGGCTTAAGTGACAAAGGGGATCCCAAGTAGACTGGGGAGCTTTGCAGGCAAAGACAGCCTGAGCACAGGAAGAGGCCTGAACATGGCGAGCACAGCAGGTGCAGGGATGTCCCAGTTGTTTGGAGCGTGGATAAAAAGAATGTGTTGGGAAAGAGTTAGAGAGGGGCTGAATGCTAGGCTAGGGCCAGGCTGGTAAGAAAGGGAAGCAGAGAAAACTTCAGCTTGAGGGGAAGGTTTAAGAAAGGAGAAAGGCTGCTTTGGGTTTTGCTTTGGATGGAGTACCTTCAAACATTTTGTCAGTCAGGAAAAGTCAGTACAAGTATGTGCCTCCACATTTATTACCTCAGTTGGTCTCACAACAAAGCAGTGAGGGTATGCAGTACAGATACAATTCTTTCCATTTTAGAGTCCCAAATGTGTTAAGTGACTTACTACACAGGACAAAAATATTAAGCAGCATAGATCACCCAGCTCTTTCTAGGGCTCTTTCTAACATACCATGAAGTCTCCCCAGTCATACTCAAAAGCATTCTAAAACAGTCCATGGTCTAGCAATAAGAAAGAATGAAATCTGGCCATTTGTAGCAACATGGATGGAACTTGAGGGTGTTATGCTGAGCGAAATAAGTCAGGCAGAAAAGGACAGATACCATATGTTTGCACGTATAAGTGGATTAGGAGGAACTTAACGGAGGACCATGGGGGAGAAGAAGGGGAAAATAGTTGGGGAGAAGGAGGGAGGCAAACCATAAGAGACTCTTGGTTTCTGAGAACAAACTGAGGGCTGATGGGAGTGGGGGAGGAGAGGGGAAGGGGGGTGATGGGCATGGAGGAGGGCACTTGTGGGGATGAGCACTGGGTGTTATATGGAAACCAACTTGACAATAAACTATTTAAGAAAAATAAATAAATAAAACAGTCCATGGTCCAAAGTGAAAGGCTGTAATGTGGCAGTGTAAGGAGATAAAATGAGCGGAGAGATTTTTTTTTAAAGAAGCTACTGGGTTTTTAAACCAGCCAATTCAGCATTGTTGAGCCTTAATTTTCTTGTTTGCAATACAGCACTACTACCATTTACTTGCAGAAGCATCATATGGCTCAAAAGCACATTTGTATGTTGAAAGCCTATCCCATGGTAGGCCCTCAAAATAAGTGGTGCATCTTATTTTCCTTTTCAGCCCCCCAAATCCAAACCTATTTTTTCTATCTCATCTCTCAAAACTCAGCCAAGCAGCAATAAAGCTAAATTGGGTGCACGCACCCTTAACCACACTGTATGAAAACCACTTGCTCCACTATTATTATTCACACCTCATACAATTTTTTTAGGCTGACCAAAGATTCATGTCCTGAAACTTTTTATCTTTCAAGAGGGAAAGAAAAAATAGACTAGTCAACAGGATAAAAAAACTTTCAGGTGATGACATCACAGAGTAACTTAACCTGATAGAATAGGTTTATTCAGATGATATTCATACACCACCTTCATTATTCTGAATACTAATCACTTGCTTTGGGGGACACATACAGTGACCTAAGTAATTTCTCTGCCATTAGAAAGGGAAGGGACCACCAAAAACAGCTTTCATTAAAGGACATTCTGCAGAACTTTCTTGACTTCTACCACCTACAGAATGGAGCCTTGCTTGGACAAGAAAATTAGAATCCTTTCCACTTTCCAGACTTCCATATTCCCTATATACACACTGACAAGTGCTGGAGACCCCACTGAGCATCCCAGGGCTGATGCTAAAACCCAAACAGGGGCAAATTGGCTCATTTAGAAGCCCAGTTGCTTAGACTCCAAAACTGTAGATCAAGACAGTCTATAGGAAACAACAGCAACTTCATTTTATATATAAACACAGGTTATATACAGCAAGACACTGGGGAGAGAATGCAGCATGGTATCCATTAAAGCAGCATTGGGCTGTGAAGGATGCCGAGGGTCGAACTCTGACCTTACCTCTAGCTGGCTGGATGACACTAGGCAAGTCCCTTTTCCCTTTTTGGGCCTTGTTTCCCATCTAAGAAAATGAGGAAATGGGACCAGTAGCTCCTAGCTATTCAAACCATGGTCAATAGACCAGCAACATTAGCATCACCTGCAAGCTTATTAGCAATTTAAAATCCCAGGTCCCAAGCTAGACCTACCAAATCTGAAAGTGCACGTTAACAATATCCCCAGGTGATTTGTATGCACTTCAAAGTTTAAGAAGCACTGTTCTAGGATCCTTTGACCTCTGACATTCTAGGATCCTAAGTAGACCAAAGCGGAGAGCAGAAGGAAAGCCAGAGCTGCAGCGGTTGGAGTACGGGATAGAAGACAGCCAGTGGAGGTAAAAGGGAGAACAAGGGAGAGAGCACACGTTTCCATCCTCCTTCATATCCTCCCACCTGTAGTTCAAAAGACATCCTGCAAGTAGCATTCTCTGACTTATTAAATAAGTCTTGTCAATGACACTAATCCTCCACATTTCCACTTGTGAAAAGACGCTTTGTAATTGTACTCTGATTCAGGCACGTGTACTGGTCGCTCTATCTAAAAGCTAGGACCCAGTCTCATTTGTTTTGCCATCTCATCCTCTAAAACACACTCCCTGCCCAACTTCTCTCAGACTGCTGACTGACAACAGAACAAAACCAGAACAAAACAAAAGGTTTCCTGTCAGGGATGCCGCGCTTGCGGGCAAGAGAAGACAGCGTGTTAACAAGGGGCTGGGGTGGTGCTGACGCATCAACCCGCATGCGACTGGGCCGGACATTCGAGTGGGCAGTACAAGCCCAAAGGTGCCTACCTCACATCGAGACTGAACGCAGAACAGGAAAGATCATGGACGCACTCCTAGACCAGGAGAGGCCCGGGAAATAAACGGAGCTCCGTGTTGTAGCGACCCGTGTCCGTCTCAACCTGGACTGTGCCGGCTCTAATCTGCCCAGTAGCTAATTTTGAAAATTACAGCCCCAGGAGGAAGCGCAGTGGTGATTGGCCAGAAGGAGCCAATCAGCGTGCGCAGTTGGGACGCGTGCTCGCCTAGCTAGGAGGGGCGGGACTGGGTATTTTTAAATTGAACACTGCAGCTAATAGACTTCGCATTGGGGCGTGGTTTCAAATACAATTGGTTGAACCTGGCAGGGCTGACCAGCGGAATACTGAGCACTTTAAAAAGGTGTTTTCTTTAAATAATCCTCCTTCTGGGATGGGAGGAGAGTGACTGCATAATTTAGATTAAGGCCAACTAAAACATTAATATTAATAACCCTTTGTAGAGTCAAATGTTAACTCCTGCTGGCTTCACAAATGGCCTTGTGAGGGAAGCAGAACAGAAATTATTGCCCCTATTTTATGAATAAGCACCCAAAGTGCAGACAACTAGTAGTAGTTAGTATTAATTTACCACTAGCTCTGTGCTAACTGCTATAAATTTTTGTTTAAACCCTGCCCAAAAAGATAGGTACTTTTATTATTGCCATTTTACAGATAACAAAATTGTAGTTTGCTAACTGCCCAATGTCACAAACCTACACTGTGGCAAAGCAGGTATGACAACTCAGATATTCTCATTTATTTTACTCATTCATTCATTCATTCAACAGTTATTAAGCATCTGCTTTGTTCCAGGAGCTAGAAAAACTATAGAGGAGTAATTGACAAAAGACTTGAAGAATTGATAACCCTGCCCCATTCTCTGGAGATGCAAAGAGTAAATGGAGATACCAAGGATAAAATCCAGGGCTTCCTGAATATACACTACCACTAAATTACATCCCTGCCTTATTATCAGCCCATTCTCCTTTTAGCATCTCACAGCTTCTACATTAAAGGTGGAGTATTCACATGATCCCAGGCCTCCTCTTTTTAATCTCCCTAATTTATCTAATCGAGATCCACAACTTTAAACATCATCTAAAATCTGGCCCTGAACTCCAGATTCATTAATCCAACTGACTACTCCACATCTGTACTTGGATGTCTGATAGATACCTGAAACTCAACATGTTCACAATGCTTACCAAACCTGACCCTTCTTCTAATGTCTCCCATTCCAAAAACTGGTATGACATTAAAACGGTTAATCAAGCCAGAAACCTGGATATCATCCTTGATTCAAACTCTCTTCCATAACCTTACTTTCCTATATCCAAATTCTTCAGCAAGTCCCATTGATTCTACCTTAAAACTACACCTTACATCCATCCACTTCTCTCCATCTCCACTACCACCACAGTCTCTCACTTGGATCACTGTCAAGAGCCTCCAAGCTGCTCTCCCTCTTTACAATATTGATCTCCTCTAATGTGAATTGGAGATCAATTACAAGACCACTCATTTTTAAAAAGAAAAATTATATCCTCTTTCTCTCATGCTTTAGTGGTTTCCCACAGAACTTAAAATCCAAACTCCTTACTCTGGTCTACAAGGTCCTGCCTATATCATCAACCCCATCTCCAACCACTCGTTCTTGTTCACTACATTATAGCCATATAGGTCTTTCAAAAATTTGAATATAATAAAATCCCTCTCCTCAAGGTCTTTGCACATGATGTTCCCACTACTTGGAACATTATTCCCTCCATTCTTTAAATTACTTGTTTTTTTTTCTGATACTTCAAGTCTTAATTTAAATGCCCCCCTCTTCAGAGAGGCCTTCCTGACCTGTTACCTAAAATAGGATTCTCCTTCCACTCCTTTATACTATCTCAGTCCCTTACATTTATTTTAGAGTAAGTATTGTTATTTGTAATTTTTTAACCTATCTCCTCACTCAAGAATGCAAGGTCCTTATTTAAAGGGTATTATGCTAAGTGAAGTAAGTCCTACAGAGAAAGACAAATACCATATGATTTCACTTCTCTGTGGAATCTAAAAAAAACATAAATGAACAAATAAACAGAAACAGATACATAAATAGAATGAACTGGTAGTTGTGGGGGGAGGGGATGGGAAAATAGATAAAGGGGATTAAGAAGTAAAAACTTTCAGTTATAAAATAAATAAGTCATGAGAATGAAAAATACAGCATAGGGAATATAGTCAATAATATTGTAGTAACTTTGTATGGTGACAGATGGTAACTACATTTACTGTGATAAGCACTTTGTGATGTATATAACTGTCAAATCACTATGTCATACACCTGAAACTAATATATGTCAACTAAACTTTAATTACAATTTTAAAAATTCTAAAAATTCAAAAATTAAAATGTACAATAAACAAAACAAATACAAGGCCCATAATTATAAGACTTGTATCCACTGTGCTCTATCTCCAGTCATTAGCATTGATGATAGTTCATATTTACCAACTGCTTACTATATGTTTGTTGCTGTTCTGAGATTCACAATAATACAATGAAGTGTTAATATCCCCATTTTGCACAAGAGAAACTTGGAGTACAAAGAAGTAAAGTAACTTGCCTGAAATCACACAGCTAGTAAGTTACTGGACTGGAATTTATATTCAAGCAATCTGATTCCAGAGACAAACACATAATCATTACCCTATACCTGCCTCCTTGACAAATGATTAAAAAATATTTGTTAACTAGGCAAATTAGTATCTTCTTTTAAGGGTAATCACTGTGAACAAGTACCTTGCTGGGATGCACTAAGGAAGAAATACAGTATTAACCCAAGTCACTGTAAGTCTTGCTTTAATTTTTATTATTGAAGTAAAGGTGACATACAATGTTATATTAGTTTCAGGTGTACAATACAGTGACTTAACAACTCCATACATTACATAATGATCACCATGATAACTGTAGTTACCATCTGTTAATACACAACATGGTTATAGTATTATTGGCTATATTCCTTGTACTGTACTTTTGATTTCCCTGAGTTTTTAATTTTAAAACTGTAAGCTTGTACCTCTTAATCCCCTTCAACTATTTCATCCATACCCTCCCTCTAGCAACTGCCAATTTGTTCTCTTTTTGACTCTGTTTTTTTCATTTCTTCATTTGTACTGTTTTTGAGATTCCACATATAAATGAAATCATACGGTATTTGTCTTTGATTTATTTCACTTAGCATTATACCCTTTAGGTCCATTCATGTTGTGGTAAATGGCAAGATATCATTCCTTTTTATGGCTGAGTAGTGGTCTGGTAAACTCAGAATTCTATATCCAAGGAAAATATCTTTCAGGAGTGAACGGAAAGTCAAATCATTCTCAAATGCTCACCTTAAAAGAACAAAAAATTCACAAAGAAAAAATAGTAATAAGAGGAATCTTGTAACATTAGGAAGAAAGCAGAGTGAAAAGAGCAGAAATATATATGTGTATATATACACACATACACACACACATATATATATAATTATAATATATATATATATATATAATGTAATACCTCAAACATGCACTAAAAACACTACAGATACATCAAAACTGAATTCAAAAGAATGTTCAAGTAACTGACTGGACGACAGGTGATAGTAAATATATAAATGAGAAACAGAAGGAATAATCAGAAAACAAAAAGTAAAATGATGGATTTAAACCCAAACAGGTCAATTAAATGTAAATTGTTAAAGTAGAGGAATTAAAAAAGAGAGATTAGCAGTGGATTTAAAAAAAAAAACAAACATGATCCTGTTCAGGTCCTATGACCATTTTTAAATTGAATTATTTGGATTTTTTTGATATTGAGCTGTTTGAGTTCTTTATATATTTTGGAAATTAACCCCTTATTGGTCATTATCATTTGCAAACATCTTTTCCAATTCAGCATGTTGCCTTTTCATTTTGTTGATGGTTTCACTGTACAAAAGCTTTTTTTTTTTTTTAATGTTTTATTTATTTCTGAGAGAGAGAGAGAGAGCCAGCATGAGTAGGGGAGAGTCAGAGAGAGAGGGAGACACAGTCTGAAACAGGCTCCAGGCTCTGAGCTGGCAGTCAGAACAGAGCCTGATGCGGGGCTCGAACCCACGAACCATCAGATCATGACCTGAGCCAAAGTCAGACGCTCAACTGACTAAGCTACCCAGGTGCCCCCAAAAGCTTTTTATTTTGGTGTACTTCCATCTGTTTATTTTTGCTTTTGCTGCCCTTGCCTGAGGAACAGATCCAAAAACATATTGGTCAGACTGATGTCCAAGAGTTCACTGTCTATGTTTTCTTCTAGGAGTTTTATGGTCTCTGGTCTTACATTTAAACCTTTAATCCATTTTAAGTTTATTTTTGTAAATGGTGTAAGAAAGTGGTCCTGTTTCATTCTTTTGCATATATGTATCTGTTCAGTTTTCCCAAGACCATCTATTGAAGAGACTCTTTTCTTCCCTACTGTATATTCTTGCCTCCTTTGTCATAGATTAATTGACCACATAAGTATAGGTTTATTTTTTAATTCTCTACTTTGTTCCATTGATCTATGTGTCTCTTTTTGTGTCAGTACCACATTGTTTTGATTAGTATACCTTTGTAGTACAGTTTAAACTCCTGGAGCATGTGGGGCACCTGCATGGCTCAGCCAGTTGGGCATCCAACTTCAGCTCAGGTCATGATGTCACGGCTGGTGAGTTAGAGCCCTGCATTGGGCTCTGTGCTGACAACTCAGAGCCCAGACCCTGCTTCAGATTCTGTGTCTCCTCTCTCTCTGTCCTTCCTTGTTCATGCTCTGTCTTTCTCTCTCAAAAATAAACAGTAAAAAAAATTTTTTTAAATAGATAAAATCAGGGAGCATGATACCTCCAGCTTTATTCGTCTTTCTCAAGATTGCTTTGGCTATTTGGAGTCTTTTGTGGTTCCAAACAAATGGCCAACAGACACATGAAAAATTCTCAACATCACTAATCATTTAGGGAAATGCAAATCAAAACCACTATGAGATACCACCTCACACATGTCAGAATGGCTAGTATCAAAAAGACAAGAAATAACAAGTGTTGGCAAGGA